TCGCAGCGGCTGCTCGACGAGATGGACGCCGAGGTTTCCGCCGCAAAGAAGCCAAAACTTGACCCGAGCTCGGGACAGTCCCCCGGTGCCGGGAAATCCGTCGCCACAGACGCACACTACCAGGCCGCGAGCTATGCGCTCGAAGTCATGTCTTCCACCAACGGTACTCGTATACACAGCATCGGCTCGATGTTCAAGAGCGACAAGATCTCCTTCTGGTTCTATGACTCTTTCGGCATCGTCAGGACCGACGACTCGCAGTCACTGTCCCTGGTGGACCAGTTCGAAGAGGTAGCGGCCATCGTGGTTGCCATCGCCTGTTGCGACGCGACGCGGCTGGGTGTCATGCAAGGCGTCACTCCTCCCAAGGGATCCAAGTATCCGGCGAGCTTCCCTCCCGCCAACCTCACTGGGTATACGATCAAGATGCCGCTGCCCAACAAGCGCAGGGCACGGCAGCCGCAGATGGTGGTGACGCTCGACAAGCCTCTGTTCTGCCAGTATGCCTTGGTAGGCCGCCACACGACTGTGTACACTGCGACGACGAGTGTTGCAGTTGGACGGAAGAAGGGCAGGGCGGTGATTGTGAAGCTGTCGCAGCAGGCGAAGGGCAGGAAGCCCGAGCAAGACTTCCTCAACGCTGCGTTGGAAGCCGGTGTGGATCACCTGCCGGAACTGCATTCCTCGATGGATCTATGGTCCCTTTCTGACGGCATTCGCCGTGTATTCCTCAAGAGGGATCCGGGCCACAATGAGATGTTCGAAGACCGTATTTTGCGGGCGATAATCTACACGCAGTATATTCCGTTGCAGGAGTTTCTTGCGGAGTCATCTGACGCTCCCGAGTATATTCGGCTCATGGTCGACCAGATGATGGAATGTGAGTGAACCGAACTATTCTGCTGTCTGTTGGCTGACTCCGTGGTATAGGCCTCCATAATCTGCGCCACAAATCGAAGATAGTTCATCGCGATGTGAGTCCGAACAACATCATGGTCGAGATGCGCAACGGCGAGCCATTCTTCATCCTCAACGACTTCGATCTCGCGACCTTCGTCCAGGACAACGGCACGCGGCTCCATCCGGCGTCCTCTAAGCACCGCACCGGCACACTACCATTCATGGCCATTGAAATACTGCAGGATATGGACAAGCCTGTGGCTTCGGCCAAAAACGGGCGCGTCGAGCTCCAAATCGCTCACCGACTGCGGCACGACTGGGAGTCTCTCCTCTGGGTCGCGCTGTGGTGTATGCTGACGACGGACCCCGGCGTTTCCGGGACGGAGCTTGAGTCGCGGATAGTGAGCTTCCTGTCCGACTGGGAAACAGGCGAGTTCAGGAACATCGCGAGCGCCAAAATTTCGATTGTCTACGGCGCGAGTTGTGTGGACGACCTCGTTCCTCCTCGGTTCACGGAGCTCATTCAGTGGCTCACGCGATGGTGCGGCGTTCTACAGGCTGGCCAAGAGGTTATCAAGAAACACCGGAAATTTACTCGTAAGCATCTCATGCGCGCGGACAGAGAAACTTTGGACGGGGCCATCACTCTAGAGGGACTGAGAGCGGCGCTGCATGCTCCTGATGAAGTGATCGAAGAGGCAGAAGAGGATCTCTCTGAAGATTGCTCCTCAGGCGTATGCGGGAGCGAAGAAGAGGTTGAAGAGTGGTAGACGTCGTATCTGGTCACAGTCGGTTCTTTGGACTTCGCTGCATACAAATGACACAATATAATGATAGAGTGCAGCAGTTGTTCAGATGCAACGGTACGCCGTAATCCATGTGGTCATCCCGTAGAACATGTTCGCTTTTATTTAAACGAGCAAATCTTCTTCCTCGTGGTAATAATTCCGCCGCATAAGTGACTCTACACGAGCTGACGAACGCTAGCGCTTATTAGTACTGCTTAGAGGCGACACCATGATATGGTCTTTATCTTCATATTGATAAATCCGGTCCGAGTTCCAATAAGACGAAGCAGAGATTATAAACATGAACTGAGGTAGATTCTGCGGGGCAGCTAAGAAACATGAAAACATTCGGCATATTGTATCTATATAGATCGTTTTACAAAGCCAAGTGGCCCGAGAATCAAGCATACACTGCCTTGCAAGCAGCATTTACAGGGGTCGCTCCACTCCTGAACTCAGCTCACGAATGAGCTTCAATCACTGCTGGATGGTATCCTCCCAAGCACCACCGTAGAAATCTGGAAATATGGAGGTCAAGACCACATAGACAGCGCACATAAGCAAAACACATACAGAAGTCCAAAGTGGACTTGACCTGGAGAGTAGGGGCACCAGGCGTGCAAGACTACGGAGGAAGTCAGTCTCCGGCACAATAAAGGACACGAAGTCGAGCATCACGTACAGTGTTCGGAGCTTGGCCTCCGTTCGAGTTGAACCGGTACACCTGTGTCGCGAGCTGTCCGTCGGGCTGACCATTGACGTCCAGCACCGGCTCGTAAAGCCACGGCGAGTTGATCACGGGGTTGATTGGGTCCGGGACGTTGCCGGTCTCGGCCGCGACGAGGAACGCGTTCGCCTTGTTCGTGTCGTTCTGGAAACGCTCCGCCTTGCTGAAGTCCCACACCGCGCTGATGCCCGCCGACGCGTTGATCGGGTTCGGGATCCAGTAGTGCAGGCCGAGCCCGACACCTGGGTTGATCCCCTCGACGAGCGCCTCGAAGTCCTGGTTAGTCACCGTTGGAGGCGCAGAGTCCCAGATGGCAGCGATGAAGGAGGTGAACGGCTTGTGGTGCATCTGGGGCAGGCACGATATGTCGAACAGGTAGGTTAAGCCACCCTGAGGACTACAAGGCAAAGTCACGGTCAGCGCAATCCGGTAATACTTGATTAGAAATAGACGTACGCCCACTGGCCGTCACAGCCGCAGGTGTAGTTCTGCATGCCGACGGACAGCGTAGTGTACACGGGCGCCGAGGTGTTGGGCATCGGGAGAGGCTCGCCACCGTTGTCGTTGATGTTGGCGGGCAGCTCAGCCATGATGTTGAAGCCCCCGGTGGGGCAGATAGAGCCGCCGGTGAGGTTAAAACTCGCACGACGCTCGAGGCCCCACATGCCGGTGGCGGGGAACGCCTTGACGAGCGCGAGAAGAGAGAGCGCGGTGAGCGACTTCGTGAAAGTGTAC